CGGTCAACCGGATGGTAACCGAATTCTTGTCCTTGGGTATCAAATCCTTGTCCGACGAGTGAGGCATTTCAAAAATAGATTTGAGTTGTAGGAATATACAACGACCCCCGTCGGCCAGATATATAAAAGTATCGATGCGAAGGCCTCCCGGATGGTACAGCAGCGACGATTCGGAGGGAACGAGATATTGATAAGTTAGTGGTAACCAAAAAGCAAGGCCGCCCAGTTGGTATCGTAGCTCTGCTCCCTTCACTGTGGAGGTTTCCCTTCTAGCTTGCCGTTGGAAATTTCCGATAGGTAACTGCAGATGGGAAGGAAAGAGTAATGGTGTATTGTGAAAATAGCCGGAATGCCATCACTGGCAGTGTGGGGAATTCAATGACTGACTCAGCAATGGTCTTATCTTTGGGGTGCCATCTAAGGGAAATTGCCCACGGTATGATTGGTTATTGCCTTCGGAATATTATGAAATCACATATCGTGTCTCTTCCACCACCACCAAAGGTGTTTAAAAGTTGTTTGGTATACTCCGGTGTTGTTGGATCTTCTTATGCTCAGGAGATCTATGTAGATAGTGATATTGTGGATAGTGACAACAGCCCCTTGGACCAGACTTGGAACGCAGCGTGTATCTGTCTCACAGGATTTTACTGTCTACCAGACTCCTAGAACCACAAGATCTTTGTGGTCCACGTGCGCCGCCCACTCTCATTCTGCGCACGTTGCTCATACAAAAATAGACGGACGAACGATGCTCAACACCGCTTCCTCCCTTCTCTCGAATTACGAGATTCCTTAGACTATTTTTGCTCGCGATAGCGGCACAGGATTGCAGCCTCCAACGATCAGTGTTAGGGTAGCCTAGTAACACTCTATTTATGCCAGTAGCGCCTAAACATTTGATACTCAGCCGCTGATGTGTCCTGATTCTCTTGCTTCTCTCATGACACCTGATATACGGCTTCAGTAAAAATCATCATACATTCAAGAACGGCTGTCCACCCGTTGAATGACATACCAGGCCATGAACATCGGTGTCACACGTCCTCATTTGTCTCTATTGCGACAGCGCCCACGTATAGCCCTATGGCAAAAGCCTGGGTCGAATCTCATTTCACTAATGGGGTCAACACTTCCCCAACCGACTAGATAGTCACGAAAGGACATGTGCTGCGGGTGGTTTGAGGTACGTACAGCCACTTCTTCTGCTAGAAAAAGGTCATTGAACCCCAGTTCCTTATTCAATCTGGTGATCAATCCACCTCATGGTCGGGGTTGGGAATGTGAATGGGGTTGTCTGACCCCAGGTCCGGTACAAAATAAGCTTTAATCTATTGGAACATATGACTTCATGAATAGCATTGTTCACCCACACCGTCTCGTTGAATACACGGATAAACTAGAAGCTCTGAGCTCCGTCCAGCTTCCACATAGAGGAGTCAATTGGGTTAGACGGTCATCACTGGGCGTTTGAGCATTGTGCATTGACATCCGTGGGCTAATCACTCAATGTCAAATCGAAGACACCCTTGATGATCAAATAAATATCTGTCGACTCCTAACTTCCGAAGCGTGAAGAGATTTTCGAGCAAATTCGCTGTGTCCAGGAGAGTGGTAGCCAAGACATCCTCATCAAGGCGTCCAGAGGCTTGAGTCATTTTTGATATATACGTGATTCTCCACGGGCCTCGTGGTCACAATGCATGATATTAGATCAGAAGCGGGCAGCCGTCTCGGCTGGGTAATGCTGTGGTGAAGCGCTTAACACCAGTAGTATATCTAGAGTGAATCATGTACTGAGAGTATAGTCAGAAAGGAGCCGTTCTTCTCGTTCATCCCCCACTATACCACTTCAAACTCCACCATTTCTTGACCTTACCTCTTATATATCGGAGCTGTCCTAATTACCTCTTTTTGACGTCTGGGCTATTCCGAGGGATACGTTCCCATAACCACACGAGTACTCTCTAATCGAGGCTCGCCAACCCTGTTGTTCTAGTTCCGGACCTCCTCTCTACACTTTTAAAGAGCCCAACAGTTGCAACTGTTCAAGGTCCGCTCCCCTCTTCTCACTCCTCCCTTGCCAATTGTCCTTATTCTTTCATCAACTCCCCCATTCTCATCCTTTTTTTCTTCCAGCTCCCCCTTTTTCGCCCACGAACGATCATCATGAGCCCCTCGTCCAAAGCCAATGGAAAGGCCAAGCATGCGCCCACAAGCCAGTACCTGTACGCATCGCTTGTGAGCCCGTCGAGGTTCGGCCTTCCACCGGTCAAGCCGATCGAAGAAGTGTTCAAAACAGCGCCGGCGAAAGAGTGGTCGGAGTGGTCGCAGATGGAGGGCATCTCGGGGGCGAGAGCAAGGCTGATCGCAGATGACTGGGAGGGTACAGGTTCGAAATGGACAATCCGGTACGTGCTGATCGCCATCATCGGTCAACCTGGTCGTTAGGCATTGTTGCTGATCATCATCATAGAACGTCTTGCGAGTAAAGGAGGGGAACGACTGAATGAAAGGCTGGCCTCACATTTATGTATTCGGTGAGCCCGTCCTTGGCATTATGAATGAATGGAAGGCTGATCATTGTGGGTATCACTTGGACAGTTTCTGCCATCTGGCTTTCTCCCACCATTTATGCCACCATGCCACAACCAGTTATGCAGGAGAAGAGCCTTCTTCCCCCTTTTTTTTGCTTGAAATCCCACGCCTCTTCTACTTGTTGCCATCCTTTCGTTTATACCATGTATCTATACCATTCCGCCTGTAACAACAGCATGTCTACTTTGGCGTCTGAGGTCAATTTGGATACGAGGAGGATTTACGAGTGTAACGAGAAGAATGCCAAGCCCTGTATATAGCTGGATTCAATTATAATGACACTCGGAATGGAAGACAGGAGCTGACAAAAGCCACAGAGAAGCTTAATTAACGTCGGAAGGCCGACTGTAGGGATGCCACGTTTATCAGTGACTAGTGATCACTTGAGTCAGCCCATAAGCCGAACAACCCCCAAGAGACGGATATTGAGCGTGGGATTAATGACATCAGGGACGATGGACGTTGAGCTGCTGAATTTTTGATGATTGACGCCATCAGCGGCCCACTGAGAATATCTAATTACGTTCATCCGGCCAAGAATCAAAGGAAATGATAACTTGTCCGCCTGTGAATGGCATTTAACTCTCGGTCATCTTCTCTCACCTTTTCACTTCCTCTCTCACCTCTCCCCTGCCTGTCCTTCCAATGCACGCCTTCACCTTCACCGCCTTCGCCGTACGTTCGAGCTTTTCTGAATTTTAGAGCCTGCTATTTACACTGAAAAGATCTTTGCGTTCTTGAACGTTGCATTTGCCAAAGTCGTCGTGGTGACCGTTGGGGGTAATACCACAACGAATCCTAGAGCTGTCTTCGATCCCCCGACCGTCACTGCCCGCCAGGGGGATGTCGTCTATTTCAACTGTGAGTCTAACTCCGTTCTCTTATGTCATGCTCGTCTCTCTAAAATTCCTCAAAGTCACCCAAGGAAACCACACCGTCATTCAGTCCGTGTTCGCTGCGCCATGCATGCCTGCTCACGATTTCAACGCAACATTCAACGGCTTTGACTCTGGTTTCCGGGCCGCAGGCAACTCCCAGGTCGTCACTAATCTTCAGGTCCCCATTACCGATAATTCCACCATCTGGTATTTTGACTGGAACACCTGTGGTGCTGGCGGTGTTGGTGGTGTCAACGTCAACGATTCCAGCCTGGAGACCTACGACGGCTTCGTGGTCAGTATTAACTTCCAAACTGAAAAACGTGGGGACCTTGAATTCTGATGCTGATGGTCTCACTTTAATTATAGCGTAACGCGTTGCGTCTGAATGGAAGCGAAGTGGACTCTACTTCCACTTCCTCCGTTGCGTCCCGTACTGCCACTGCCTCCTCGGCCGCCTCGACTTCCAGTCGACCGAATAGCGCTACGCGTGCCGTAACTCGAGGCACGCTGGGAGCGCTTCCCCTGCTCTTCGGTGCCCTGGCGCTGTTGTTTTAATCTCGGACAATATATTAACTATCCCTGTGGAAGTTAAATAGAATGAGGCTGGCGGTTGGCGACTGTCAACTATTTTTGGTGCTTCGGACGTTTCATTGTTTGTCTGCTTGCCTTTCGTGGTAGTGGCGTTTCCATGGGACTAAGTGCCTCGTCGCACATACGACCCCCTTCCATTCCTTCCTCCGACTTGTGTCTTCGCTGTTTTGGTTTACCATTTGTTACTCAAGTTTTATTGTCCACACGTAGCTTGCAGTATTTTATGTCCCTTTGTATGGGCTTGGGGTGAATCGATGTTGACTATATTCCATTGTGCTACTTATAGAATATCTTTCTTGGACACCTTTGACATTGCTGACTTGTCCCATGGGGCGGCAGAAGAAATGCAGGGTCCATGAGGCATTTTATAGATAGCCCTCGTCGATCTGCGTGCGTGTGTGAAATGGTTATTTTGATTGCAATTCATCACCTCCTCGTTTTGACCACCGTTTACGAGTGCGGTATATGTATAATACTGTATATACGTGAATCAATTACAGGTTCCAAAAATAGAGTTCCCCCCTAGCGCCCAAGATTATGCATCATGGCCTGCTTTGTTGGACAATAAACAATGAGCTAAATCCTTTCATTTGCAAATGTAACGTGATTGGCCAGGCGAGGCTATCTAAATAACAAGTAACCTATATTGTGAATTGTGCTGTCTTTTGGCTGGGCCGTTCATGCAATAAGAACAAGGGATGGGCTGGATTTCTGGGTCAAGCTCAAGTCTTAGCCATGCTCTTACCAATTTGATGCTAGAACAATCGGCAGCTACTCTATGTTTTCTCTCAGCCGGATGCTCAGGATTTACTGCATTTGGTGGAGGCCTGTTCAGGGATATGTGTGTCTGTGTTCGTGAGTATGCCTCTTCGGTTCTATTCAAATGCTGGGTTGGGCATCGGCACCAGAAAAACATTATCATACCAGCGATGGACACACCCGGAATTGAACCGGGCACCGCCCGCAAGCAATACGAGTGCTAAGCGGGCGTGATAACCGACTACACCATGTGCCCGATAACCAGTAGTCATGCAGGCGGTAATCGTGCGCCAGTAAGCCTTTAACCACTGGTGATGAAGTTCAAAAAGTGACCCTTGCGAAGGAACTGAAGTTGTATACTCGGTGGTGTACACTTGTCCCTATTAATGGTACAGCGTGGCTATCTAGAGAGTGAGATATGTGGAGGAATAAATTAGTCTAAGATGGTATGGGTAACTTAGGTGGGGAGGGTAATCGTAGGGCGTAAAGTTCATTAGTCGTCACTGTGAAAGAATAAGAATTGTGACAGCAACATGATATAGGATATGACGTACTCTGCTGGTTCTCTGCGCAGGAACAGCATGTCAATAGCTGCAGAAAAAGCTGCGAACGCTAGACCACCGCCGACGACAGCTTTTGGGCCTGAGTTTCGTGCAAGTACACCACCTGCAATGAAACCCGATGATACTGAGTTCCAGATATCATTCTTCGCGCGGTACTGTGGTTTCATAAAAAAAATTAGTGATGTCTCATTCCGCGACGAGGCATTAAAACGCACCCCTTCAATGACACACTCAATACCAGCGAATAACGCGCCGACTTTGCCAAAACCCTTCCCACTCGTCCACATTCCCTTGCCCATTTCCTTGAATAACTGACCGGCTTTCTGTGTTGTGTTCATCCCCGCCTGCGTCTGTTGCCTTAGTATCGGGTCCTCATAAGCAAACGAAGCAGACATAAGCGAAAAGAACGCTCCAATGCCGAAACCTAATAATAGTCGTTAATAGTGCGCAAGTACATGGCGTTGCATGACTCACCCATTGTACCGGCCAAAACCGTTTTGGCTGCACACGATTCCATAGCCATTGACGCAATATTATTATACTTTTGTTGTTGCTTCAGCACCTCGCGGTCTTCTTCCGTGAAACCAGGGGGTAGAGGCTCCTTTCCTGGGGCCCATATTGGGACTTGGCACGGGTACCTGTTGAGGAGGGGGTTCATGGCCTGGGGCTGGCAGCACCGTCAGTCGCGTAGACGGTACGGCAAATGCTGAGTTGTAAATTTTGATCTGGCCGGGTTCGAGTTGCAAGCCGGTATTTGTACATGCTTGTCAACGGCTTCGATATCGTCCGAATCCCCGTCAACGATTGAACCTGCCACGGCACCACTTCATCATTCTCCGGCCATCGCTTCTGGTTTGTTTGTTCATGGATAGTCCAACATCTAAACATTTAGGCTCTGCAGTGCCCTTGACAGCATGGTGAGTTCCATTTGATTATTAATGCACAGGACTCATATCGGCACAGGAGACCGGGCCCTTTCAATGAACTTGGTGACAAAGAGATCCTAAGAATTCTCGAGTTTTGTTTTGCTTCCGGTGATTCGCGCCATTTGCGTCTCGTAAGCAGACGGCTGGCAAGACTTGCATTGCCCTTGACTCTTCACACTTTGGCCATATGCTCTCCGGAAGCTCTGGAATGCTTGGTCAAATCTCCAGAAGGTCCACTATTCAACGGGGACCTTTCACGACATGTACTCTGCCTCGAAATCCGTTTTGCTCCACACGACTTCGTCATCATCTCGGAAGGCCTCCCCAGGATGTGTCCGAATCTGATCGTGGTTCGCTTTCGTTTCGATCTTGGGGTTGATCCTACCAAACTACCGGGAGAGGATATCTTTCAACGGGTACTTACGCACGATTCGGTTTTCGCCGAAAAACGCCGGCAGTCATATCAAACATGGCTCCAGTTCCTCTCTAACTTCAACCCCAAGAAGTTCGAATGGGTCTCTAGCGATCACCGGACGCTCCGGCTTGTGGGGGTGCATAGTCATCTACGACAGTTACTAGCCTCATGGAAGGATCTTGAACTAATTTTTCTGGATGGGATCTGCCTTCTTGAGGACAATGAGAAGCAATGGCGAGTCTGGTTGCCGACGAAGACAGTAGCGATCCGTGGACCATTCTATGACGGCACTCTGAACTTTCTCTACAAAGTCGCCAGGATCCAGGCCTCGCCCTCCTGTCAGCTCTTGATGCTAGAGTCATGCGACAATGCGCACGAAATGCAGCAAATTTTTGCACACGGTATCCCTGCTGTGTCCCTCCTCGATAATACACTCGTGACCACTGTTGGATGGGCCTATTCAGAACGGGACTCGCTAATCTTGGGTTTAACGCGGTATAGGCCCAAGTCTCGCTATCCCTTTTTCACTAGACCATTGGCCAAACCAGTTCCAGCCCCTATGGACGTCGGCAAACCCCCTCCCATCAAGAGATCGTGGAAAATTCCGCTCGAGTTGCTCAGCGCCATCTTCCTGGTTCTTATATGCTTGGTCTGCCATGTTCTTGTGGTCTTTCAGTTCGCTCCCAAAGGGGACATCACTCGCATATACCCTATGACCGGATCCGATAAATTATTCCTTCTTCGTGTTCCAGATCTCTTCAAGACTTCGAAGCCGCCAGGACCCCAAAACAAACCTCTACCCATGCACATTGTCTCTACACCTTCTAGTGCTGTTATGGATCCTATTGCCCTTCCGAGTTGCTGGTGTTCGTGCGAGCAGCCTGGAACCTTGTTTCCCAGTATGAAAAAGGTCGTCTATTCTTAACATTCTTTCGGCATGGACCACATATTCACCCTATTGAATATATATTTTGTATGTTCTATTGTACGCTCATTTGCGATAGTTTTGTACTCCTCTCCACTTACCTGAGGCTGTCTTTCTCAGTTCCTATGCATATTTTATTTCTTCAATACCTCGGGTTTGACCGTAACTTAGCGCCGAGGATCGTCACGCCCCCGGAAAATCGGAGTTCATGGGACCGCTAGCGGGCTATGCACGCCCACCACGTTGATCCTTGACCGTAACCTCCACCTACACCCATCTCCACACCCAAGGTGCGCTACGGTTAGTTTCGGGAATATACCGAGTGTTTCATGACCCTTAGTATACACGCACATGACACTACGACATTCCCGAGGAGCATCGTCAAGAACCATCATACAAGAGCTCGAAGATGATATCTCGCGAATCGACGAGGGTATCAATACTCTCCAACTGAAGAAGAAATACCTTACTTCATCATGGCCGCTCATCAGACATATCCTGAAAGAACCTCTCCATCACGGCGCCACACTTGATAGGCTTGTCGAAGAACGACAGCTGCTTTCACAGGAACTTTATGCGCATACGGCAGCGCAGTTTGTGTTGGAGAGATTCCCGTTCGAGATCTGGGAGTTGGTTTTTGCGTATGCGGTTCCCGGGTATTTGTGTCAGTCTGACGACCCATTTGGACAACTTGGTTCTTCGGGTCTTTTGTGTTCAGGGTCAGGGTCGGGGTCGATTCCGAGTGTGAGGGAAGCGCCGCTTTCGTTGGCGCATGTTAATCGGCAGTGGCGTGCTTGGGTGCACGGAATGCCGGGGTTGTGGACTCGGTTGGCGATTAGGAGTTCGAGGCATGCTGGGAAGATGGGGTTTGTGTTGGAGGGTGTGAAGTGGTGGTTGGAACATACGAATGAGAGGGCGTTGACGCTCTCGATTAAGATTATGAGGGAGAGGCAGAGGGAGGCGGAGGAGTGTGGGTTGATGGAGTTTATTTGTGGGTTGGCGGGGAGGTGGAGGCATTTGAGGTTGGATGTGGATTGTGCGGAGGCGATGTGTAGGATTGTGGGGAGGGAGATGAAGGGGTTGGTTACGTTGAAGTATGTGCAGTGGAACTCCGGGGGTGGGGATGAGGGTGGAGATGGGGAGTGGCTGCCGAGGGTGCTGGTGGAGAATGCGCAGAGTTTGAGGGATTTTAGGTGTGCGGAGAGGTTGTGGAATCCGCAGATGTTGGAGGTGCCATGGGCAAATTTGACGAGGTTGAGTTCGGCGTATAAGGCGAGTGTTGGTGAAGTGTTGAGGTTGTTGAAAGCCGTACCGAGGTTGAAGTCCTGTGTGTTGTGTGTTGGTGATGGGTTGGACGAGGATGCCGAGGCCGTTCGTTCGATTGGGGATGTGCGCTTATTATCGTTGAAGGATTTGGAGCTTCATTCAGTTGCACCCGAACAGATTGGCCTTGTGTTGGTACATTTGCTTGTGCCAGAATTGAGGACGTTGCGGTTATTCGGAGAGGTTGTCGTGGGGTGGTGGTACAACCCCTCGACTTGGGACTGGCCAAAAGAAGCGGTGTATTATTTGGCGGAGAGACAGGCGGCAATGTCGAATGGATGCATGAAGTTGAGCAAACTGGCGTTAAAGGGGACCATGGGGTTCAAACTGTCCGAGGAGGTTATTCGGGAGGCTCGGGCGAATGTTCGATCGCTGAGATTGATTGACGCTAGGGATGCCGTGGCTGGAATTAGAGCTTGGGAGCATATGTACTTTCCTGAAGCGAAAGAGGACGTTGAAAGTTGGCATGGGCTGCGCGTCATTAGATGAACAGCGTGAAATGGAAAATTTTTGAGTTTGACCGTTGACATGGTCTTGGTTCGCGTACACATGGTCTTGGGGACAGGTCTTGACAACCAGGATGATTTTGGACCTGATCATTACAGCTATTTTACGAACTGTGTACTTATACTTAGATACTTGGCGCGATATCATTATAGTATGACTGCCACTAATATGAAGGTCTGCGTTTGAGCATTTATGCTAGTCGCATCCGGACTTGAAATTAGTGATGTTTACGTATCGAGCGCGTACATAGCCCATCCCCGACCTCCGAACAACGCCCGATGAAATCAAATGCTTCCTTCCGGAGTGTCTTGTCTCCCGAAAAAGCACCCGCCGAAACGAACAAGGAACAGAGAATCAGTCCAAAATGTGATGTAGGAGGACGTGAGTAATAGCCTCATGGCTCGCAAGGCGAACTTCTTCGCCCGACCCTCGGTAGCGCTGTACGTATATGGGTGCGGGGGGGAGAGACGGGGACAGAGCGATAAAAAGTTTTTGAAGAGCGTTAGGCAGTTTTCGGCTATATTGGAAACACAGTTTCACCAAGAATAAGCACTTTGTCAGAATGGGATAAAGATGTTAGGGTAGGGGGTGTACCCT